GCGATTCGACGGACGTGAAAGAAGCCGTCGACAAGGACATTCGCGATGGGAAACGGTGCATGAAGCTGTTGGCGAGGAAATTGCGTCAATTCGACGACCGTTGTTTGCTTCAAGTTGGCAAACACTCCGTGTGGTGAGCAACTGAGTAGAAGCAACAAAAAAATGGCTGAAGTTTATTTTGGAAAGATTTTTTGCTTTTTGTGTGCATTTTTCTGTTGGAAATCTCTGTGAAACCAGGAACTTTTGACTTTGTCCAATATTGTTTAACATGTTATTGATGAATATGATTTTTTATTTTCAGTCCCTGTCTGGATTCCCTTGAACCTTTGTAACTCAAGTTTTGGCTGTTATTCTGGGGGCCCAGGAAAAGAGAAGAGTGATGAAAAGGCAACTTGATGCTTTTTGAGATGAAGTGGATGACTAATTGGGCAAATGAACCCTTGCCTCTGAGTTCAGCATCCTTTCATCTCATTTAAGAAGCAATTCAAGACCCAGAATATTACCAATTAAAATGTCCTGCAATTATTCTTCTTTTCCTGAACAACAAAAAATGCTTGTTTCCCTAACTTGAGACCACAAAAAAATCAAATTTGTTAGTGTTGAGGTTTGGCTATTCAAAAAAATTCAGGCTCTTTGGATTTAGAAGAGCTCTTTACAGTTTTTCCATGAGTAAGAGAAAAAAAATAGTAATATGTACTGTATTACAAAAAATTTAGTTTCCCTAACTCAAAAATGCCACAAGTCAAATTTTGTTTTTGCATGTCCCTCTAAGTTTGCTTTGAAGAAGTTTGACTGTACAGTGAGAAAATTAGCAAAATGTATGTTAAATTGGTGAGAGAAATGCCCAAGAACTTTTCTCACATCAATTTTTAGGGTTGGAAATATCTGTTTCTTGTAATTTGGCCTGAAATGTATTTGCAATTTTATCAATTATCTGCAATTATATTAAATGTCCCTATGTTGAATCAGTGTCCTGATGTTGGGCCTTTTTTATTATTTTTTCTAGGAAAATAAGTGTCCCTATGTCAAATTGTCCATATGTCAAGGTGTCCGCATGTGCGGGTCTCACTGTAATCAAAACCTTTCAAACTCTGTGGATTCAGAAAAGCTCTTTCCAGTTTTCAAGTTATTAAATTGGAATAATTTGTGTTGTGCAGTGACATTTTCTGTTTCTTTATTTTTGTTGTTGTTGCCTGAAAGCACTCATTTTTCTTTTGCAGTAGCGTGACATCATTGGACGTTGGGTATTTAGCACTGTGTGAGGCTTCATATTCAGACGTCTTGGTGTTTGGCTTCTTGGAAGAAATGCTCAAACAGTTCATCAAGTTGTATGATGTTCCTGTTGTGGACCGTGCAACGCGTCCTTTTGCCTTCATTGAGTTTGGTTAGTTTGTCTTTTGAATCTTACAAAAGGCACAGTACATTCAACTCTCAATTTAATGGCATAAAAATATAATTTTGGCCAAAATCGAATAAATGAATGCCTTTTTTCTGGAGATAGCATTGGTTTTATTACTGAGAATCACATGCCCAAGGCCACATGAAAACTCAGAATATTTTTAAACATTTCTATAGCTGAATTCTTTGTTGTTGAAAAGTATATATTTTTGTTGGTGCATGACACCTTCCTTTATTGAAAATTGTAAAAATGAAGTGGGAGCTTTCCTGGAAACATTAGTAATTTCTTCATGATTGCATCTGCTGTAAAACTCAAACTCACACAAAACTTGAAGAAACAGCTCTACTCTTTTACTAGACACAATATGTGTAAAAATCTAACATATTCTGTCTCACAATAAAGGGGTTTTGAAAAAAGTAAATATGAGCAAAAATTATTTTTCATTAAACAGACACAATAACCTAAAACTTCTGCAAAAAAGGATGTTTTGCCAAAAGTGGAAACTCTCAGCTGAGCCTTTCTTTTGTACAATGCCCTCAGTTGAGTGGCAAAAAATGTTACATGACAGATGCTGGCACTAACTAAATCAAGATTAGATTGTTTTTTTTTTGTGGAGGTTTTGTGAAATGTTCAGCTTTGTGTAGATTGATCTTGAATTACTGGGCATGGAAAATGGGGAATAACTGAATGGTTTGCAGGTTCAATTACATTTATTGACAAACAGTGTATCATGTCACTAATGCACTTTTTATTTCATGCTATTCCCTGTTTCTCTCCATATATAGACAAGGTGATACAAAGTCTGAGGCAGAAATACAACAGTAAGGTTGGAGTGGTTCAGAGGTTGAATTTTGGGGCTTTGTCTGAGGAGTTGAGGCTGAGGCCACCATCTGTCATTGGAAAGACAGACTTGGAGGACTTGGGTGTGAGGCACCCTGTACCTGATGTGACCAATGGAGTTGGCAGTGCTCCTCACCCTGTGCTGACCCACAGTGAGTCTTTATCTTGATTCTTTTTTCATTGTATTTTTATGAGAAACTTTCCTGGTATTGAATTTTAAATGATGGAATATCTTTACACCCAAGAATGTTTTGGTTTTAGGAATTTATTCTAGATAGAGATTGTGAGTTGACTTTGGTATAGGAGAGACAATTTCTTGCCTTATAGCCAAGGGTGATTCAAGTGAATAGATTCTTCTTACAAAAGATAAGGTGTGATGTTGTCATCATTTATTTAGTGTGTCCTGGTAAACTTTAAGAATGTTTAGAGCCCTGTGTATGTTGAGATCAGTACTTTGGCATAGCAACTGGGTTTCTAATTTATGCATGTGCTTTATCCAAATTGTTGGAAGGTGTGCAGACACCTTTTTTGCTGCTCTTTGTCAGTCTGGAATCTGTTTTGACCAGTGTTGTAGGAAACATAGTTCAACAACTTGACTTTTGCAAAAGCAATAAAATTTAGTCTTCTGCAGATGAATTTTAAGTCATACAGTATTGTCAAACCTATTCAAATCAAATTTCAAGAGACCAGCAAGAAGTTAAGGAGGTTTTGAGTTGAAAAAATAATTCCAAGAAATTTTAATTTGTGATATTTTGGGCCTTAAGTTGCTTTTTCAGTGATTTTAAAAGATTCTGAACTTGGAGGGAAGGGTTCATTTGTCAAATTAGTCTTTCACTTCCTTTCAAAGCACATTGAGTTACATTTTTACTGCTTTTCTCTTTCCTGTGTCAATGAAATAACAGTCAAAAGGCTTTCAGAAAATTTGAGTAGGGGGAAGTCTTTCAGTTTGGATTTTTTATATTTTTTGAAGATAATTCAGACAGGGCCTTAAAAATGCAATGAAGGAAGGTTCAATTTGTTGAGGTCCAATGGTATAAATAAAGAAAAGGACACTTGGGAAATGTATATGTCAATTTTTGTGTTGTTTTAAAGTGTTTTGATGTTTGTTTTTTGTTTTTCAATGAGCGTTGAAAATTATTTTTTCCCCCGCAGGTTTCCGGGAAGAATTAGTTTTTGCTCCTTTGGGGTGCATCAATCTCTTCTGGATCTTTGTGACGGTGATTCTGGCGTCGATCAATTTCTACCGAGGCGTGATTTCGATTCATTTAGCGAACGTTTTTGTAAGTTACCATTTTTTTTTCATGGAACTGAAGAGAATTGATCTACAGTGTTTGATGTGTTTTTTTAAATTTTCTCGCAGGAAATTGACGGCCCCACTGTTTCCACGGGACTGTCTCTGGTGATCGAAAGCTTTCTTCAAATTAGCCAGGTTGGTTGTGAAGAAATTTCGATGCAATAAAATGTTTTTTTTTTAGAGAAATTTTCGTAAATGAATTATGGCCAGGAATTTTTCACTGACAGATTTTCAATATTGTTTTTTATTTCTCTGTACTGCCAAAAATTGTGGAAAATGCTTCATTTTTATTCGCATTTTTAAAAGATCATAGTTCTAAATAAAGACGCAGAAAAACACCTGACGAGGCTGGAAAAAGGAAAAATGCAGGTTTAATTTGAAACTGTGTTCCCAGTCATTAATTTTGAAAAATTTTTTGTGAAGTTTTTAATTTTTGAAAAACATGAATTAAGAGGAAAAACCTTGATACTCTCCAACAATGGGTTGAATATTATAAATAAATGAATATATATATACGTATTTATTTATAATATTTAAAAGATGGGCTGATTATTATAAATAAAGATATATATATTTATTTATTTATAATATTCAACCCATTGTTGCAGAGAATCAAGGTTTTTCCTCTTAACTCATGTTTTTCAAAAATTAAAAACTTCACAGAAAATTTATATATATATATATTTTTTTTTTTCAAATCTCAGGCCTATTTTCTGGCATCAACGAACCAATCCAGGGAATTCGGAAGTGTGGCAGTGGCAGTGATCCAGTTTTGGTGTGTTGTCTATCTCTGGAGTATCCGGGATCCTTGGATGTCCATTCTTCACGTCGTCTCCGCAGTCATCATGACTGCTTTAACCCTTTCTAGGCACTATAGCGTGAAAGCTGCCAAATTCTGCGTTTGACAAAATGGCAGGCAGGGACGACGACACGGTGGATTTTCGAGAGTTTCTCAGTCTCCTTTCTTATTCCTTCGTCATATCCGTTTTATCTGTGATGCGATTTCTGACACCGAGTTGGTTTTTTTTTTTTTAATGCTCGACTACAAACGGGAAGAAAAATGTGTTGTTTTTTTTGTTGAGGATCTGGAATTGTTGCGAGTCACGTTTGTTTTGTTTTTTTCGGTGTGGTGCGGTGTTTTCAAAGTCGAAATTCAATTTGTGCTGTGGAGGATCGAATTTTTTTTATATAGTGCATTTTAAAGCGATGGTTGGGGATTCTTTCAGGAAAGTTTTTTTTTTAATATGTACCTTCAGTTTTTCTGTTGGAATGCACAGGGGTTTTTCAGTTGGAAATTTTGTTAAAATCTTATCCCCAAGTAAGAAATGCACCCCAATTTTTAGTGACTTATAAAACCACAACATTTTGAAAATAAAAACCAAAAATTGACTTCGGACATGAATTGAACAAAAATCTGATAAATTTTCAACTGTTTCAGTACAAAAAAGTTTTCTTGTTACATTTGTTCCAAATTTCTCCATTATTATTGAGTAATAATGCACACATAACTTCCTAAAACTTCTTGGAATATTTGTACCTGCTTATGACAAAAACTCTTTTTTTTCTTCTGGAATTTGAGAAAAGAGGTGCGCGTGATACTTGAGTAAATACGGTAATCCTTGCTGGTAGCTGTTGAAAATTATGTTTTTTTTTGCTGCAATACTGTTTTACCAGGATTTGTTTTTCCTTCATTTATTGTGTCATACATTTCTTCTGAACTCAAAGTTTAGGTATTACTGTGTTTACTCAAGTACCAAATGCACTTTTTTTCTTGAAAATTGAGGTCAAAAAGTTTGGGTGTGTATCATATTTCAATTTCATGCCTTGTTTTTAAAGATAATTTTTTTAGAGACTAGAATGAGTTCTCAGAAGTTTACTCATGCTCCAATGAAAGTGGCAGATAAAATATGAAAAGAATTCTTCACAATTGAATTCATTTCTCATCAGCCTGAATTTCAAATTTTAGAGATAATTTTCTGAAATCAATTGGGTCTCTGAAAAACGGGCCGCAGTATATTTTTCATGATTTCCTGAAATATTTCACTTCCTTGTGGATCTAGCAGAACCTGAATCATACCTTGAAAGATTTTCAAGGGTTACTGAATCTGAAGAACCTGAACCATTGTTTGTTCTCCTATGAATTTTATGATTGTATATCCCTCAGCCAAAGTTTTCTCTCATTTTTCCAGTCAATTGTCAGGGGGGAAAAAACGGTGTTCAGAATCCAAAATGCTCGCGGGCAAACGGAAGCAGGAAGTGATGGAGATTGACCCGAGTGCGGGCAATGAAGACGATATTGATGTTGTGCTGGACAAAAACAGGCCGCATTTTCCAGCTGCCAAGAAGGCCAAGATGGATGTTGGGAAGGAGTTGAGAAAAGTGGCTGTGCCCAGTAGGAGATACACACCTCTGAGAGAGGACTGGATGAAGATCTACACACCCCTGGTGGAGCACTTGGGTTTGCAAGTCAGGTTCAATACCAAGAGCAGGAATGTGGAGTTGAAGGTGGGTCATAATTTCTTGTGAAAAAAAATCTGATGCAGTCAAATTCCAAATTTAGTGCCATGATTTTTGTACTGGCTCATTCATTTTGTGGCCATGAGCAGGGGTGGCAGTTAATTGGGGGTACTGGTGGTACTTCGCAATTTGACCCTAATCCATTGCCAAACTAGGGTCAAATTGGTTGAATTGCAAGACATTGTGTAGGGCAATACTAAACCATCACTATTTGTATCATCTAACACCCCCTTATTATATGATACTATAGCTATTTTGTCAAATTCATGGCACTTCAATAAAAAAATTCATCCAATTTTCAAAAGTGTCTGTGATATAACACCTGCAGTATAAATACATGAGTTTGTGCATCACCAGAGCACCTTATATTCTTATGTCCAGTATTTCATACTGATAGAAACAAGCTTGAGAAAGATTTAAAAGTATTGGAATTCAATGAAGAGACCCTTTCTGAAATCATAAAGGATCAAGATAAACTGTTGGCCTTATACGATTTCTCATCAAAGATTCTCTCTAATTTGTTCATTCAACTAAACCTGATACAGAAACGAGCTGAAGACCTTGTGCTTCAAATTAATTTTTACATATATTTTGTTTCCACTGTCAGGGAATGAATGGGTGTACGCATACATGTCAGATGTCCAGTTGTATTTCATGGATTGAATTTTCTTTTATTTTTTTATCAATTTGTGCTCGTGTTTCCTGCCCTGAAGTGATTAAATGTCATTGAGTGGATTTGGGTTTGGTAGTAAGGGGGTTTGGTTGTGGAAATCTTGATAGAACCTTGTGAATGCTGAAAAGCAGTAAATAAAGTGTTCTGTTCATTCATCCATTCATTGTGTGAAATTCAAAGATATAAATATAATAACGGAAAGGTGGCCAAAGCAGGTCAAATTGTGGGGCCAGGGTCAAATTGCAAGTCAACCTCCCTGCAAATTCAACCATTGAATTGCCTGACAGTCAAATTTCAAGGTACCACCTGTATTTTATTTGAGGAAACTGTTGTTGAGGGCTTCTACTATTGGTAAAGTAGGCTTCCTTTCAGAATTGTTTGGCCAAAATTAAAAAAATGAAATGTTTTGATTTTATGGGAAAATTTCAGAAGTGTTCCTAACCTGAGCCAATGTCTGGATGTCAGGCCTGTTTTTTTTGTTGTTGTTTTCAAGTGTCCCTATGTCGATTTGTCCATATGTCGAGGTGTCCGCATATTGGGGTCTCACTCTACTTGTTTATTAATTGAAAAATTTAATGGGCCTTTTTTGAAGTAGGTTTTGGAACTTATTTATTTTTTAAATTTAATAGGTCTTGTCTGAAGTAAATTTCGGAACTTATTTATTTTTTATTTTTTTTTGCAGGCTTGTGCAGAGACGGAGGATGCGAGCAGTCTTCAGAGAGGAGCAGATTTCGTCAAGGCCTACGTGCTTGGTTTTGCAGTAGAAGATGCTTTGGCACTCTTGCGACTCGACGACCTTTTCGTAGAGTCATTTGACGTTCAAGATGGTCAGCGTCATTCGTGGTTCATATAAATTCAGAGTTATTTAAATCATCAGTTGTAGTTCAGTTTAAATTAAACCAGAACGCATTTCAAACCTGATTTATAATTATTGCCCACATAATTTTCTCAACTTTATTGTTCAAAGTACTGCACTGTGCAGTATTTATTTTTGATTTTCAGTTTGATGCGAAAAAAAATTTATATATTTTTTTTAAATAGATACTCTTGAAAAATGGAAAGAGGACAATGCTTTTTTTGTGACAAATTCGACAAGCGAGAAATTTTCCACGTTTTCGTACTTCATGTGCTTTTTTTTACGCTCATTTTCGGCGTTTAATTCTTGCCAAATTACAGTATATGCGTTCATGTGATGACATCCAAAAAGCATTGGATTTTTCCTTATTCTACAGTATGTTCTCTGTGGAAGTTTTGGCCGGTTTTTTTCGATATTCAGTTCTCTGTTGGATTCTGTCCGAATTGTTGATGGGATCGCATGTATTCATTTAATTTCTATTTTTGTCGTCTGAGCAGTGAAGCCGTTGAAAGGCGATCACCTGTCCCGGGCCATCGGCCGTCTGGCTGGCAAAGGCGGCAGGACCAAGTTCACCATCGAAAACGTGTCCAAGACGAGGATAGTGTTGGCTGACTCTAAAGTCCACGTTCTGGGGTCTTATCAAAACATCGCTGTTGCGAGAAGAGCCATCTGTAATCTCGTCCTCGGTAAATATAGAAAACAAATGAGTTCATTTTTCTTTTTCAATTTAAGGCCAACCTCTTTGAGTCGACTTTCAAGGGACCTGCGATAAATTCGAGTTTGGGAGAAACCATCGAATTCATTAATTTTTTATTTGAGTCGAATTTGAAAGGACCTGCGAAAAAATAGATGAATTCGAGTTTGGGAAAGGAGCGTTTTTTGTTTTGTTTAGGGAAAGGAGAATACAGTGAGACCCCAAGATGAGGACATGATTCATGCATCAAGACTCAAGAGTGTCCCTAAGTCAAGTCTCATTTTCCCTTAGACTTACATTATGTAATTTTTAATTGGTGTTTCATGTACAAAATATTTACCATAATTCCATGAAAATAAAAATTGTCTCCCAATTTACGCTGATTCAATCAATATACTGTATTTTAAAACATTATGCACATTTGGGGAATTCAATGCTGATACCTCTGTACAGTACAGTACATAGAAATGTTGGCATTCTCTGTAAAAAAAATTCAAGTAAAAAAGAGATAAGAAATAAGTCCCTCTATGCTGGAGGTAATTTTTTAAATTAGCTAAATGGATGATAAATTTGTGAGAGAAATGCTTAAGAACTTTTCTTACATCAATTTCAGGGTTGGAAATTGTTTCTTGTTATTTGGCATGAAATGTATTTGCAATTTTATCACAAAATGTCCCTATGTTGAGTCAGTGTCCTCATGTCAGGCCTTTTTTTTTTTATTAACTTTTTATGGGAAAATAAGTGTTTGTATGTCAAATTGTCTGCAGGTTGAGGTGTCTGCATGTGGGAGTCTCACTGTAATTGCAGGAAATTGTTTTGGAGATATTCTGGGCCTTGAATTGATTTTTTTTTTATTATTGGACAGGATTTTGAAATTGGAGGCAAGGGTTTATTTGCTCAATTAGTCTTTCAATTCCTTTCAAAGTGCATCAAGATACACTTTTTTATTGATGTTCTCTTTCTTGTGTCAATTGAATAATAGCCAGAAAGGCCTCCAGGAAATTTTACTTGGGAAAAGTCTTCCGGTTGGGTTTTTTTTACTTTTTTTGCAGAGAATTCAGACAAGGCTGTGAAAATTCAACTTAGGACTGTTCAATTTGTCAAGGTCCAATGGTCTAAGTGTAGAAAAGGATGCTTGAAAAAATTTGGGAAATGTACTTGTCGATTTTTGTATGCCTGTATAATGACTGTTTGTTTGCTTCAGAGTGCGTTAATGTTTTTTTTTTTTCGTTTTTCATTGAGTTTTGAAATTATCTTTTCGAAGCTCATTGAAAGTAATTGTCAATAAGGCAAAATTTGAGTTTTAGAGGTTTGAGTGGGGGGGGGGGGGGGAAGTCCTTGAGTTCAAGAGGTGTTTAATGCATTGTCCACGAGGAAATTTGAATAGGGACTCGAGAAAAATACGACGTACGGAGGTCTGAGTTATCGAGGTTCAATTTTATATTAATTATGTTTTATGAATATTAATGCATTTTATTTTTTTTTAGGGAGCCCGCCGTCAAAGGTTTATGGAAATCTGAGAGCATATGCATCAAGATCTTCGGAGCGGTTTTGAGCGCCTCGGGGGCGGCTTTGATTCGATTGCGATTGTGATTGGTATGGATTTGAACGCCGTTCTGCCTGACATCATCCAACCTTGTCCACTTATTTGTAGAGTCGGTGGGGAGGTGACACGTAAAATCCAGATCTTTAACTATACTGATGTTGTAACAGTCGAAATGGAAAGCGTTTAGGGAATTCTGAGTTCATTCCATTGATGAATCCTGGAACTGAGTTTTGAATCTTTCTTCTTTTTTTTTTTTACAGAAGCATGATTAACGTGTGTGTATCATTATAATAAAAATACCAAGTAATTTTTTTCATAGAGTCAAATCTTGTCAAGTTGAACTCTAAGGTACCCTCAGAAAAGTTGATTTGGGAAATTTTTGAGTTACAGAAACTGAAAATTTTTGCTTTGAAAGAAAGGAAGATTCACTGGAAGGTGAAATTTGTGATCCTCTAGGCTGTGAATTTTTTTTGTAAATGAGTTGACAGGATGTTGAACTTGGAGGCAAGTGCTCATTTCTCAAATTACTTACCGTATTTACTTGAGTACCACGCACCCTCAAGTAAGGCACGCTCAGGGGTTTTTCAGTTGGAAATTTTGCTAAAACCTTATTCCTGAGTAAGATGCGCACCCCAATTTTTAGTGAATCTAAATCCACAAAATTGCGAAAATAACAACAAAAAATTTGACTTCAGACATGAATTGAATAAAAATCTAATCAATTTTCAACTTTTTGAGTATACTGGTAAGCAAGTTTTCTTGGTACATTTGTTCCAAATTTCTTCATTATAATTAAGTATAATGCACACATAACTTCCTAAAACTTCTTGGAAACTTTGTACCTGCTTATGACGCGCACCCCTTTTTTTCTTCTGAAATTTGAGAAAAAAGGTGCGAGTGGTACTTGAGTAAATATGGTACTTCTTTTGTGAATCCTACCAGTTACAGAACTCTGTGAGCAGCAACACCTAGGGACAGTTTTTTGTGACATAGTCTCTGTTCAGAATTTCCAGATGTTGTGAGAGCAGGGGTTTCGAAGTCAGATGCCAATTTCTTCCATTTTCTATTCATGTAAAATCGATTTTTGAAATGCTTCATTGGAAAAATTGATGAACCTTATATTTCCACTGGCCTTGGTGATCAAAAATATTTGTTTTGGCTTAAGGCATAAAATCTGCATAAGCTTACTATTTCAGTGTACAATTAATTTTGTTTTATTCAGTAAAATAATCTGAGTAAATGAAGGTTTTTTGTCATTTAATGTCTACATGTCATGGTTTCCAAATAGAATGGAAAATTGTATTGCGTTTTTCTTGTTGCGAGCATCAAACCTGATGAAGATATGGTACTTTAAGCTTAGATGTCAGATGAAAATTTAGTACTGTGCTGTACTTCTAATTCAAAAAGTAAATTCACAGTGATCTGTCAATCAAGTTTTTTTTTTTTTTAAACAGTGAATGAATATTTTTGGGAATTTTTCAGTCAGTTTTTTTTTTTCTTGAAGCACGTGACATTTGTCACTCATAAATTTTATGATTTCTCATCATGCAGATCATGAAATGTTTTCTACAGCTTTGATAAAATCTCACGCGAAATTTGTGCTCCCTCCAAAGATCATATCCACGTCAGAACTCATTCCTGAATATTTTCAACCGCTCTGTAATACAGTAACAAAAAAATATCCCTCACGCGTGCTGAAATTTTTCGCTGTTCCTGCGAAGAATTTTTTTCTCAAAAAATAATGCAAGGATAAGAAAAAAACTGCTCTCATAGCACCACTGCTTTATTATACTCCTGGCTCTTAGTCATGCTTGAGCTCCAAACAACCTCTTTTTTTTCACAGCACCACTCCCACTCTTCAGGAAGAAAAAAAAACGTATCTTTTTTTTAAGGAAGCGGAAAAGGGGGAAGACAGAAAAAAAAAATGGCATGACAAGACCAACTGAGGCGGAGAAGGGAACTAAAATAGGAAACTCCTGACTGCATGTATAGGATAAGGGCGAGAAAGAAATTGAGGGGGGGGAGAGAAAAGAAGAGACTGAAATCAATTTTTTATGTTTTATTCAACTCACACATCTTGGGGGGGGGGGGTGTCATTCCATGGAAGTGGGCATCTGCAAAGTTCTTAAATTTGGAAAACATTAAATTATGAATTTATAACTCAGAGGTGGCCAAGGGCCACATTGATGTATTTTTTTAAATGTTTTTTTAGGGTCACATTGCAGATGGGGCTACAATAGACAATACTTTTTGAGGCCCCCTTTTAAATTAAAAGGCTGGAGCAACACTTTGAGTTTTTAAAATCATTTTTTCATGAACAGTATAACTGCTGAATAATTACAGCTGCCATTTTGAAAATGATGGGGAAGGGACTGTATGATGGATAGTCTGTGTGGGCCAGATCTGACCTGCAGGCTGCATGTTTGGCAGTTCCCTTTAGTTTTGTTTCATCTGTTGACTGATGCTAACCAAGGAAGCTGGAGAAGGGCATCTGTAAAGCTCTGTTCTCATCTTTGAATATAGGATGAGCAAATTTTAGTAAGTGTGTGTGTGTCCCTTTTGTAAATAAGTGTCATCTATCAATTACATCCTCTGTTGTTCAAACATCAAATTTTGTCTTCACTGTGCATATAAAAAAAAATTGATAATAATCCTAGAGAAAGAGTAATTTATGCTGAATGACTCCAAACACCAAATGCCCTCAAGTAAGATGCACACACTGATTTTGGGCAAGGAAAGTTTGGGTAAAAATGTAAAACCCTTCATAACCATCTCCCCCACTTCTTGATGCTCAATAAATTCAGTATTAAAATTACACACAGATTCAACTTTGATTTAAAATGAGTGTTGGAAATATCACATGAAACAAAGCCAATTAGAGAGCATTTTAATTTTCTTGTTGTGCTCAAAAATGTTCTTACTTGTAGCTTTTTCAAATTTTTAAAGACTATAGATCTGGTGATTTGAGTATATTACATGCACAAAAATGTCCATATTTACAGTATGCCCCATTTTCATTTGCTGAAGATTCCCAGCAAGATTTTTTGTGGCATTCAAGTGAATACTGTAAAGTAATTACAGCACTATTTTTCCTGGTCCAATATTAAGGAAAGCTGGATGTCAGAGGGTTCATTCAGAAAGTTCCTCATATCTTCTTCTTCAGCAAGGACACATGACCAACTTCTGGTGAGTCTACATTTGTTCTGGAAAGTATATACCTCTGTATCTAATTTTTTTCTCCATTGCCAATAAACAGGTGAATTTTCCTGTTCCATATATATGTCTCACAAAGGGCATCCAAAAACTTCCTGTGTGGATCCTGATGGCCAAAAACCAAAATGGAAGATCAGCAACCCCTGGTAAGTTTGTGTGTGTGTGTGTGTGTGTATGTGTATAAATATCTGGTTGGAGTGCATTTGTGAATTTTCTCTCACTCTCTGTCCCCCCCATTTTGATAAGACCTGTATGTGCATAACAAAACACAACAGGTTTGTTTCCCTGGTTGTGTGTTGAAGACAGGAAGCTGGGGGGGGGGGGGGGGGGGGG